CAATCCATCTTGTTGGGGGGCTTCCTCTTTTTTGCTGACCCTCCACTTAACCAAGCATGATGTCTTTCTCCAGGGACTGGTTTCTCATGATAATATGCCTAAAATATGAGAGGCAAAGTCTCACCATTCTGGCTTCTAAGGAACTTTCTAGTTGTACTTCTGTCAACACAGATTTGTTTACTTTTCTGTCAGTCAGCCCATGGTACTTTTAATATTCTTCTCTAATGCCATAACTCAAATGCATCAATTATTCTATGTTTTCCTTATTAACTGTCCAATTTTCACAGCATATTGAAAATACCATGGCTTAATTGTCCTCAAACTGACATTTAATAAATATTAACAGCAATTTTAATCTCAGTAAAACTTCATTTGGGAACTTTAAATCATTTTACTGTTATCTCAGGCCACCATTGAGAATGAATTAATCATTTGGGACAGTTGTGCCAACTCTGCCAGGTCATATGGGTGCCATGGTTGCTGCATTTGTTTGACAGAAGCCATGGTTGGTGACAAACCAAGTAGGCACTTAGGACAGGTACATGGGCAGATCAACTCATTATCATACTTCCATTTTCAAACAATGTATTCCCATCTCCAAGCTCTGATAGTGTAGTGGTTATGAATTGGACTGCTAACTTCAGAGTCCACAGTTCGAGCTGTTTCATGGGAGAAAGAGGAGGCTTTCTGCTCTGGTAAAGATTTACACTCTCGAAAACCCTGAACAGGGTTGCTATGAGTAGGAACCAACTCCATGGCATATAACAACAACAACAGCATCTCTGTCTTTAATTGATTTAACAACCATGCTCTGTTATTTTTGTAGTAGCATTTTTTATAAGAACACTACTAATAATACTGTTATTGCTGTTGTTAAGGGCAATCTTGTCAGGGCCAACTCATAGTGACCATGTATATGGTTTCTGAGGAGTGGCTGGTGGGTTTTATCACCACCGACTTCACAGTTAGCAATCCAGTGCTTATTCTATAGTACCACACCAGGACTCCACATTATTAGAAGCTAAGATTATTGAGTGCTGATCATTGCCCAAAACAATGATCTGTGTTCCTTAAATTTATTTTTTATCTCAACCTTCCCAACTACAACTTTAGGTAGACATCATTATCACTCTTACTTTATAGATGAGGAAACTGAGGCTCAGAGTGGTTGCTTGATCCAGGTCATATAACTGGCTAATGACAATATCTGAATTAACAAGGTGTTTACTTGCTTCTAATACTCTTTGATTGTCAATGGAGTAGCATTAGAAGTATTACAGTTGGGCTAAAATCAAATTTGTTTAGAACAAATATTGCTGTTTAGCTTGCCTTGAGATCCAGTTTTTATGGAGAGAGGGGATTTTTCTGAAAAAATCCTTGTGAATTAGGAGTCTTATAAAGTGAATTTAAAAATCTCTTCTCATCCATAGGATCAGGCTGATTGAACTTCACATTCATGAATCATTAAAGCTGGGAGGCATTTAAAAAATTACACACTTTTTTTTTTTTATTTTACACAAGATGAAACTGAAGAACACAGAAAGTAACTTGTTAAAAGTTATCATAATCATAAACTTTTGGAATGTTTCCTTGGCAATTTGTTTATTCTTATTTCTGAACAGCACCATTTGAGATATATACAGAACAAATTCTAATACAAAATAAGACATTTTAGTATGGTTTTTCTATTTATGTATAGATCACCACTTAATGGTGTACTATGCATTGTTTATTTTTAGCAGATGAGAATTCTAGAACACTTGCAACCAAGCACAAATGAAGTCAGAATGATTAGTCTCCAGGATCATCAACATGCTTCTGTTTTAAAATTCCAAATGTTAATGTACCATTTTTGGGAGAAGTACTGTTCCCTCTGATTTAGCACTGTCACCCTATGTTACTAGGTGTGCATCTCAAAAGGAATTATCCTATGGTATATGAGAGTTTGTACCATAACCAAACAATCAGCTGGACAATGGGTTTTTCACTGACAGGGATATTCAACTTTACTTCATCATTGTTGCCAGTGCCTCAATAAAAGCATTGACACAAAATCTATAATCAACAAAGTTTGTTGAGTGAATGATACATGGGTGAATGTAAAGATGTAGAAATATTTATAAGCATAAATCAATTCAAAGAGAGGTTCAGCATGAATGCTTATGGACCAACAGACCAGAAATATGGACATGTATCATAAACTCAGGTGCAGATCTAGCTAATCTCGGGACAGATGATGTTAAAACATTCAAATATATTCCCAGGGTTAGATGATCATATTTATCAACCAGAAAATAGTGAGTGGTTCTTAAGGTGTCACACAGTATTATCATCTTTGAGAAGAGGAAATTTGAAGTTAGACAGTTAAGGTGTGTCTTTTAAATGACATCAGGATTGCATTGGTCTATATATTTAAAAATTTATTGACATTGTTGTTATTTGTCATCGAGTCAATTCCTACTCATAGAAACCCTGTAAAGGGTTTCTGAGGATCAACTGGTGGGTTTGAACCATCAATCTTGTGGTCAGCAGTCCAGTATTTATCCTACAGCACCACACCAGAACTCATTGATGATAGTTCGGTGAAATCTCAAACCATAGGTGAAGTTTCAAAATCTGATCTATTCACTGTTTCTCATTCAACATTTATTGGGCAATATACACTGTATCCTATATGGAGTCCTGGTGTGGCACTGTGGGTTAATGTGCTGGGCTGCAAGGTCACTTTGAACCACAGGTTAGGTAGTTCAAGCTCACCTGCCACTCCATTAAAATCATCTACAAGGTTGCTATGAGTTAGAATTGACTCAACAGAACTTAACAACAACAAATAAAATATCATATATAATGGATTCCTGTTGTGGTGCTATAGGATCAGCATTAGACTGCAAACCATAAGGTCGGCAGTTCTAATCTACCAACTGCTCCTCGATAACCCTATACAGGGTTGTTATGAGTTGGAATCAACTCGATGGCATTTAAAGACAACAACATACCATATACACACAGTCTATTGTCCTCTAGAAATTTGAAGTCTTGAGCAGAGCACAATAGTAAATTCACAATAACAAGCTGGGATAAAATTAAGTTTTAAAGTCAGACTACTTGAATTCAACTCCCAATGTTGCTAGATGTATTGCATTAAGTGAATTATCTAACTTCTCAAAATCTATGATATCAAATATCAAATAGGGATAGTAATAATAATTATACAGTGTGGTGCTGTGAGTTAATGTGCTAGACTGCAAAGTCAGTTTGATCTGCAAGGTCAGTGGTTCAAGCTCACCAGTCACTCCTCATAAAACCTATACAGGTATACAATACAGGAACCAACTCGACGGTATTTAACAACTACAACATCATACAAAGGTGAAGTGGATTAAAAAAGATAATATATAAAAATGCTTAATAGAATATGTAATATATTAGAAAATATTAGCTATGATTCCAGAGACTTTGATGTTTCTAATAAAAACAATTTTTCTGAGGAAGCATGAAAGTGGAGGTAAATCAGTAGGCAGACTGCTTCTGGGATGATTTGAGTTGGGATGTGGCAGTTGATGTCTCCTTTAGTATGGTTTGTCCAGTCCTTTGATGGAACAAGTTCAAAGGCTTGGGTGGTGGTGATGGTTGTGTGCCACTGAGACAGTTCCAACTCATAGAGCCCTTGTATAGGGTTTCTGAGGCTGTAAATCTTTAAAGGAACAAAATCTTCATTTTTCTCCCATGGAGTGACTGGTAAATTCAAACTACTGACCTTATAGTTATCAGTCCAGCTCATAAACCACTACACTACCAGGGCTCCTTTCAAATGTTTGCAGGCATGTGAAAAACCACAGCTATTTAAGGCAAGGCTTGCATTTATTTCATGATGGATAAGAGAACATGAGGAGATCTGGTGTGGCACTGTAGGATAAGCACTGGACTGCAAGGTCAGTTTGGTCAGCAATGTAGGCTGTTTAAACCCACCAGCCATTCCTTGGAAATTCTATATACAGTCACTATGAGTCAGAACTGACTCAATGGCACTTAAAAAAACATCAAGAGAACATGAAGAAGGGAATGGGATGAAGTAGAGCAGCAGATATGGAAGGTGGCTCATGAAGCCTTACTTTTCTTTGAGGATAATTGGAGAATTTGAATTATGGGAATGGTAGATGGGTTTCAGTGCAGACTATACTGACTCAGAGTAGCCAAGACTAGAGACGGGGGTGACAGGAAACTTCTGCAGTAATATTAAATGAGAAGTAATGAGAACTTGCACCAAGGCAATAACAATGAAGAACAAAGGAAATTATAAAAGGAAAAGTATAGGGCATGGCAGTTAGTTGAATGTGAGATGCAAAAGATATGAAGAAGTAAAAGATGATTCCAAAATTTCTGGTTTGAGAGACTTAATGGATGGAAAAGAAGGCATACTATAGAAGGTAAGTTCAGTTGGAACATACTGAGTTTGGGGATTCTTTACAAAACTTTCAGGGAGAAATGTCTATGGGACATTTTGATAATGAGGTCTGCCTCTCAGAAGAAATATAAAATATCAAAGTAATGGAGAGGATTCATATATTTATTTATATGTGTTGACATGTTTGATTTACAGTCATCTGCCGAATCTATTTTTGTTGTTCAAGAGAAGAATATTAAGACAGAATGTATGGTTCTTTTAGAAGAACAATTTTCTATTTTATTAAACTAGATGATACATTTTGAGGACTAGATTAAGATCAGCAGTTCAAACTCACCAGTTACTCCTTGGGAACCCTACATAGGGTCACTATGAGTCAGAGTCAACTCGATGGCACTTAACAACAATAGCAACAAGATCTTTTACAACTCCTATGAAAAGATTCAATTGTTCCAAAACACACTGAGAACCTGAAATCACTTTACTTTGAAGTTTATGGAATATATTTTAATACTTGTAAAACCATATAACTCAAACATGCAGTGATTATGCTTATTGAAAAGAAAAGTCAAATAAAAACACTATCTACATTTACCTACTCTGATCCCAATTGGCTGCAAACAGGAGAAGGATCTTCCTGCCGTAGTGGTCACAGTTTTCTAACACTCCAGGGAACCCATCAATTAGAGCCTTCTTAATTCCAGGATCATCTGCTTTGAAGTTTTTGAACATGTCCAGATTTAGCTGGCGGTATTGGAAGTACTGGGCCAGGAGTCTAAAGGCATCAGCTTGGTGAAACTTCCTGGCTCGGAGAAACCTCAGAATGAAGGCATCATCTGTACGTAAAAACCCAATGTCAGGCCTGGTGATGATCATGTCTCTGACTTGCTGAATGTCCTGATGTAAAACATCTGGGTTCTCATTCAGTTCCAGACGTGCTTTGTCTATAGTCTCTGGACTGAGTCCAATCTGTAGATGGGTCATGTTGGCTAAATCTTCCTTCCAGCTGCTTAATTTATGATATTTTGAAAGAAGAGAGACTGGTCCCATTCACCGGTGGTCTGCTGAAATTGTGGCCCATTCAACAGTGTTTTCACAAGACTGCCAACAACAACAACAACAACAAAAAACCCACAGAGGGAATCTTCTTCTGTTCCTGGAGAAAAGTAGGAGGCTCAGGCCTTATGTAGTAGTTGTCATCCAAGAGAGAAGGAAAACCAAGGCCATCACTTGCTGCAAAACAAATACACACAAGAGAAACAAAATAGAAATAATACAAAGAAAATCTAGGTCAGTTAAGTGGACCTTAGGTAGAAAAGCAGTACATACATTATATTATGGTTCATATTAGGTATTCAAACAATTGTTAATTATCCTTAAAATGGATAGTTAGCATACTTTTATTATTGACACACTGAATGTATGACATGCCAAGTATTTGAAACGTATTTGAGAACTTTTAGTTGTGTTGACCAGTATATGGTCAGATTAACAATAGATTTGCTATTTTATTAATCAACCTAAGAAATAGAATAGCATGCTTTGTGGGGTTATTCACAGGCAGAGAAGTTATGATTTCTATACAATTTATTACTCTGTTAGCGTCTTTTCTCAAACAAAAGTATCTTTCACAGAACTCTCTCTTTTTTGTAAGGCAGACATTTGCATTTCAACAATGCAAAGGACTGTTAAAACCAAATAAAAACAACAACAACAAAAAAATCACTGCCTAAAAGTTTTCTTTATCCTAACCTCACAGGTACTAGTCAATCAAAGGAAACTTCCAACAGAGGATGGAGGAAAGATTATGACTCAAAGTTGAAATTCAATAGCCAAATTCAGTAGCAATGAGAAAGGATAGTCACATGTGGACATTTAAAAACTGCACTGCCATTTATGTATGGTGTATTTCTACAGGAAGGGCAAATAGCCTTGAAACTCTTGCTTGGCTGCCAGCCTAGCCCAACACCCACTCAGGTTTATAACTATTCCATTCTACATCATTTTTTCTATTGTATTAAGATACTGATGGCTTAAGATAATGATTGAATGCTTCAATGCCTTTGGTTAAATCCCTTATGATTGTTGTTGTTGTGTGCCATTGAGTCAGTTTTGATTTGTAGAGACTCTGTGTAAGGCTTTCAAGGTTATACATCTCTATAGGAGCAAAAAGTGTCCTCTTTAGTCCATGGAGCAGCTGGTGGATTCAAACCACCAATCATGCAATTAGCAGTCTAATATGTAATCCACTATGTATGCTATCAGTGTTCCACAAAAAAATACACATACTACTTACTTCTCTCTCCTTTTAAATATAAATGCTTAAGCTCTCTCAAGCATTTATTTGATCTAACCTGGAAGTTCCAAACATCAAAAGAGATAGTGTGAATAAACTTGGAAGAATGCATGTTTTTCTACCTTTCTTACCTCAACAGTATTTGCAATAAAAGGAACACTATTCACTCTCAACCTAATTATAATTGGCAATATTTTATCATAAAAATATTTTTTAAAGGGCAAACAAGCCTCCTGCTTAGTTGAGGATTAGTACTCCTAAACTTAAGGGTGTCCTCAACTTGAGACAATCAACTTGCATTTCTGCTTTATGTTGTCATTCAGATATAGGAAAGATCAAGAATAAATAAATCACGTTACTGGCACTAATATTTAAGATAATAGAATTAAGTAAATAATTATAAAATGTTGAGTTTGTAAGCATTTTAAAAGGAAGCAGCACTCTTTAACGGGCTGAAACAAGAAATAGAAGAGATTCTTTCACTTCACTGATTTAACTATCTAGAAGAGTAAATGAAAATATTTCTATTAACTGGAATCTTAGATTCCCAGCACTAGAAGCAACTTCAAAATCCAACTAGTTCAGTCTTCATCTGATGTTATAATTCCCTCTACATTACCCTCATTAAAGCCTTCAAAAAGTTTCCTCATTGTCTTACTCATCAAATTCACTCCTATGCTCTGTACAATCTATATTGAGAATACTGCTGAAACTACACGTACCAATATCAGCAGTGTAAAAGAACTAAACATAAAATTTCAAAGTACATCTAGAGAAGATAAATAAAGCATTAAAATGGAGTACAAAAACTTGAAATTAGAAAATCAAAAGGGGAAAACATGCTGAGCATTTCTCACATTTAAAAAAGAAAAAAAAAATTTCAAGCTTTGGGTTGCAATAGTACTGGTGTGGCACTGAGAGTTAATGTGCTGGGCTCCAAAGTTGGTTTGAACTGCAAGGTTGCCAGTTCAAGTTCACCAGTTGCTCCTCAGAAACCCTACAAAGGATAACTGTGGTTGGAATCGACTTGACAGCACTTAACAACAACAGTAATGGGAAAAATACTTAATGACACAGTAAGCACCAAAAGAAGGTGGAAAGTATATAGAATCAAAATACCAAATGAATTGATCGATGTCCAACCATTTCAAAAGGTAGTTTATGGGAACAAACAAGATGGCGGATCGGGTGGACATATAGCAGAGAGCTCCACCAACAACAACACAGAATACCCGACCAAGCAGGCTCAGGGGATGGTTCCAGAACTCTGAACCACATATAAAGGAATACTTAGAAGGTTGGAAGGCTCACAGCTGGGGGAATTTGTGGCAGAAGCAAGAAATCTATTGCTTT